CCCCGTATAACACGGTAGTTACGTTCCAAAAAATTGCCGTGTTATACGAATCCCTGTTATGCGAATCAAAGAACTAGTACAAAAAGGAGGGTTCGGTTCCAAGAATTAAAAAACATGTTACTATATTTTCATAATTAAGTTAAATATCTTTATTAAAATTTTCTTAAGTGATACATATTATTATAAATTAAACAATGTTTTCTTTGTCATCACTAAAAGCACTATTAACCGAGAGCGTTTTATTTTTGGCAAGTTATCGTTATCCTCTGAGCATTTTTCTGCATTATTTTCAGATTCATGCTTTACCTTTTGCAAAAAGTGTATGTAATTTTAGATTGCTTGCTTCTAGTTAAAAGATCTTTATAAATTTCCTTATATGGTGCTAAGCACTTATGGAATAAGGGAAAAACATCTGACAACACCAGAAGCAGAAGCGTCGAGAAGTGGCAAAATTGAAACAATTTTCGCGAAGGACCATGTGTATGGAGACGAAAAAAGAAAATTTACACACTGAAGTACTAATAGTTCACGAAATTTATTATTTTCGTGAACTATTAGTACTTAAGTATGTAAAAATTTATTACATTTCATGTTGTACGCGGGTTTTATCCATTTCTCGAACCGTGTCAGAGTGAATCCGTGCTATAAAAGTACCGTGTTATACGGGGGATGGTACCAATTCTCGAACCGTGTTAAAGTGAATCCGTGCTATAGAAGTGCCGTGTTATACGGGGTTACCTGTATATATGTTTGCTTTGTTCGCCTAATTTAATTATTTATCAACTTTTAAATTTACACGTTAAATTTTCGGGAAATTTTTATAAGTAACCGAAAAATTTTAACCATTTAAAAAACATGAAACAATTAGTGATGATAAAAAATTATATTTATTATAGAAACGCTATGTCAACACATGATATAAAAAAATTACATTTATGTTTATTTTAGGCAGTCAGAACACGTTAGTTTTTCGTGCTTTCCACAAATTGAAGTCTTGCATAACGCGCAATAATTGAAAGTTTTATTACCAGTTCATCGGCATTTTCCACATCTTTTTTCTTTTATTCGAAGATAATACATTTGCTTCTGTATTTTCTGGAGTTTCATCTGGCTCTTTTATCATTTCTGATATGTCGCTTTTTATCTTTCTGCTCAGATTTGGCATGCTGAGATTCTGTTTCATGTAGGGCTTTACCAAACCTAAAGCTATTTCTTTTAAAAACTTTCTTCGTATAATAGGGCGGCTTTCGGGATTTTTATTACACGCAACTATAACAAGGGCGTTAATAGCTGCTATGTTTAGCATGTGATAAAATACTGTCAGGGGCCATCTCTGACTTTTCCTTGCAACAGAATAGTTGCCTGACATTTCGTCAACTGTATCCACTCCTACCTTTGTTGCATTATAGAACGTAATTGCTTCGGGTTTTTTATCTCCTGTTCCTGGGTCAATTCCATCGTTTTCATGCATCGTTGATAACAATAAAACAACTTTTCTTTTTTTAGGAACATATGAAAGTTTAGAGTTGCATGATCTTTTCCAAATCCAAAAAGTGAAGAAAACTCTTTTCTACCAGTGCTGATAAGAAAAGTTGCAGGCATCTCACGCTTGTTTTTCCTTATTGTCCCAACTGTTGTGAGGTTGTGCTGACATACGAGTTCTCCGGATAATGGAACACTCGTAAACCAATTGTCATACGTTACGTTACGTCCAGTACCCGACATCGGCTGTATCAAACGTTTCACAACGGCAGAAGGAGACTGATCAAGCCTAAATGAACCATCAGGTTGTTTGCCTAAATTAACTTCCATATTTAGGGTGTAGTAGGTCCTAGCATCTACGAGAGAAAACACCTTTATCCCGTATTTAGCGGGCTTGCTTTTCATGAATTGACGAAATGCATCTGCCACGAAAACTGTTTCTTTCATCAATTGTTGTGTACTCACTAACACAGAAATATTTTTTACAATTTTCTACTAAATATTCAAATATTTCTCTCACAGGAGTAAATTTATCAAATTCAATTCTTACTTGACGATCTCTCTTGTCATCGAAGCGCAGCATCCTCAACAAAAATCTAAATCGTTGTTTGTTCATCGTTGCACGAAAAACGGAAACTCCTCTGCCATCATCGTTCCACAATTCATCGGTGTGTATGTGTGATGATTTCAACACACCGGAAAGATACAAAAGTCCCAGGAGAGCTTTTATCTCCACCAAATCTGTTGGTTTCGCATTTCTTTCACGACTATACTTTGATCTAATGATTTCTATATAGACGTTAGTGTAGTCCACTATCTTTTGTAGAATAGAATCGGGAAAAAAGTACTTCCAGGCATCCAAAGGTGTTTTAGCATGTCTTGCTTCACGTCTACAACCTGGAAGATGAGAGACGATGTTGTGTCTTCGTGTGCGCACAGATTGAATTTGTTTTACCTTCTTCCATTTTGTACCATCTTTTCCTGTGTAGAAATTCCCGTCACGTGGTAGAATGTCATCTTCATCTTCATTTTCACTTGGTGATGTATCAGTATCAAACTGATCATCATCCACAATTTCTTCCTCTGCATCAACAATACTCTACGCATCACTTTCTTCACCACCTAAGTACTCATCTTCGTTTTCTGATAAAGTTTCGTTTAGCATGGCACGTATTCTATCGATCTCTTTCTGATCCATTCTAAGCTCTATATACTCGATAACAGTTACTGAACTCTATACACTCGTACAGGAGAAGACTAAGCAACACAACTACAAACTGCGACTACAAGCTGTCGTTAGACTATTATATAGCAGTAAAATCGCTTTAAACTTTGAAAAATAAACGAAAAAACATTTCCTAGAAATGCATTCAACGAAAATACGTTCCTAGAAACACTAAATAACTTGCACGTGAGAACTAAGGGTTTAAGGATTGAAAATAAACAGATGGCAGATCATGATGACACACCCCCCCTCTTAAAAATTAACGCAGAAGTTAAAAGTCGCTGCCGGTTACTATGACCCTACAGAGCAATTATCTCTTAATGCGTTCTGAGAAACTAAGTAACGGTCATACGTTCCGATAATAACAATAAATTTAGGAAGCTACTGTGAGTAACATCGGTAAAACTTAATTATTAACGATTCAGCAGATCATAAAATAGGGGGTGCGGGTCAGAATGGGTCATGCAACCTCATACGGGTTAAATAGGTGGACGGAAAGACTTTCTTCCTAAAACGAAAAGTACAGGGTCAAGTCACTACTAATTTAAAACGAAGAGCATCCATTTTTAATTAAATAAATTAAAAATATGATTCAAAATACAAGCGGGAGTTTTGACGTTGTGCAATACATAATTGCTCGTTAAAGTTTCATATTTTAATGTTTTTATGTAATAATTTATAAATAACGAATAGAGAAGGTGAAAAATTATATGTTTTTCTTTGTACTTGATTACTCTTTATTTACATTAAAATAATTCGGACTTTATCTAAAATAACACATCAAATTATTTATGATAACTTCTCAAATATTATAGTAAACGATTTCTACAAATTAGTAATTTTAAGTGATATAAATTTTAATATTATTCTAACTTGTGAAAAATTACACCATAGTAATTATAATTTAAAATTACTTAGTTGTTACTTTAATATTTGTAATTCGTTAAAAATAATTATATATTACATATTCTCATTTAAAATAATTTACATATGATCTAGATACATTCGAATATGTAAATTATATGTAATCATCAATCATCAATATACTGCAAATAATAAAGGTAAGTGTACATTGTGCATGCCGCTAAAACTCAAAAACGAGTCTCGATAGGATCAAGGGAGTTATATGGTGTGGTAGCCCTCTATCATCCATCCATAAAAAAGGTTCTCGTTTTTACCTAAATGGCGTTCTGTTGAAGATATAAAAATCGGAAATTTCGCGCTATAAAATTTTCTAGAACAGTCTAGAACATTCTAGAATGTTCCGGGATGTTCTGAAACGTTCGGAAACGTTCGGAAACATTCCGGAACATCCCAGATCATTGTGGAACATTCCACGAAAAGATACTTTCAGTGTGCTAAACTTCGAAATTGCAAAGGAGAAAAGTTACAACATCAACGAACTACTTCAATACATTGCTCACAACAAACCACTCCTCAATGACAATAAAAATAATTTTACAACATTATCATGGACCGGATCAACAACACTGGCGGAATTATTTACTTGGACGCACCAGGCGGCACCGGGAAAACGTTTCTAATAAATCTATTTCTGTCGGAAATATGTGCTAAACAACACATCGCACTTGCACTGGCATCATCCGGCATTGCAGCCATACTTATGGAAGGAGAATGAATTGCCCATTCGGCCCTACAACTGTTGTTAAATATAGCCGAAGAACGATTCCCGGTATGTAAAAACTCAAGAGGATCTGGACGGGGTGAACATCTAAAACAAGCTAAAATTATCTTCTGGGACGAATGCACAATGGCACATAAAAAATCACTCGAAGCCGTGGACAGAACATTACAGGACTTGCAAGGACAATCTGAAGTGATGGGAGGAGCTCTACTTATATACTCGGGAGATTTTCCACAAACATTTCCAGTTATTCAACACCAGCGGACGAGATCGATGCATGCTTAAAAAAATCATATCTTTGGCCATACGTACAAATACCGCGACTAACAAAAAATATGAGAGTTGAACTCTCGAAATACGAAACAACAGCACATTTTGCTCAAAAACTTTTACAAATAGGCGAAGGCGCATATCCCACTGACCACACAACCAGCCTCATTGAACTCAATGAGCCACATTGCAACATAGCCAACTACTGAAAACGAACTCAACGCCCAAATTTATCCAAACATTGTTCACTATACCAATCCGGAGTGGTTATTTCAAAGGGCAATTTTGGCAATTAAAACTAATATTGTCGACGATATCAACTTTAATATTCAAAACAAAATTTCCGGTGAGGAGAGAATATACAAATCGATCGAAACGATGGTAAACGTTGAAGAAAGTGTCAACTTCCCAACAGAATTTCTAAACTGTTTGCAAGTACCAGGAATGCCATTACACTGCCTTCGACTGAAAATTGGATCTCCGATCATACTACTCAGAAATCTGAACTCACCAAAACTATGTAATGGAACAGAGATGATCGTCAAACAGCTATTGAATAACATCATCGAAGCCGAACTTATGACTAGAAAGGACAAAGGACACAGAGTATTTATCCCCAGAATACCACTGATCTCTACTGAACAGCCATTTCAATTTAAAAGACTGCAATTTCCAATCAAATTAGCCTATAGTTTTACAATTAACAAAGCGCAAGGATACACTTTAAAACACTGCGGCATCAACCTCAAAGACTCCTGCTTCTCTCACGGTCAACTATACGTAGCTTGCTCTCGAGTAGGAAATTCGAAAAAATTGTACATATATACCCCGGATAACAAAATGAAAAATGTTGTTTATAAAGAAAAATTGTAAATAGAATATGCTTTCAATAAAATTTTTTTAACTTATATTTTAAAGTTTACCCTTTTATTCCAACTACCACACAATCTCATATCAACTTAGTGAGCGAACCTCGTACCCCAGCTAGTAATTAATAAATAAGAGGTAGTCAAGCAGAAATATGATATGTATTTTTTATTACTAAATTTCTTTACGTTAAACTGTTTTAGATTTTTATCATAAATATCACAATAAATTATAATAAACAATTTGTATAAATAAATAATAATAAATAATCGATATAAATTTATACAATTGTCTAAATTCCGAAAAATTACAAACTGCTTTTTATAATTTTAAATGACTCAAAGTTTACCAGCAACGTGTTGAATAACTTTTCCAGCTGTTGTCAGGTTTTATTTTTAAAAAATAACTTTAAGCAAAATATATAAAATTGTGACTGACGCCATGATTGTAGCTAAAAAACCACTTACAAAGTTAGTACAATAACACACGGTATTTTAACATTTAACTGATAGTAAACATTTAAGCTTACAACATACAGAAAGAGATAATATTACATGTTCGAATTTTATTATAAAAGTAAATATTTTGCAGCGGAGAATATATCTTTATAAATAGAATTTAATCAAATATGCAAATAATATGATAAAATATCCCCTGTCAATATAATAATTAGCACAGCGAGCGAAACTCGAAAGCTTCGTTATATAATATGAATTATGAACTTTAAATACAGACCAAAAGTCAGTGTATATTAATAGTTGATCGGAAAATGTACACTAAACTTTCAGTTAGGTAAATATCCTAATTTTTGTCTAGCAGTTGTACAGTACAGTTACATTTGTCTGTAATATAACCTGTATAATGCAGAAACCTGTCTACTGTGAAAGAATCGCTTGGACACACAGGATTCCATTATAGACAGGTTTTCTATAGAATTGTGTGCAATAGACAAAACGTAATTTGTAATAATAGTTCATGCAACAAAGAAAACGTATTAGATGATAATGTGAAAATCATTAATTAATTAATTACAACCGTTATTTGTTTATTCATTATTATAATTTTATTTTATTTAAAATATCGAAATAAAAGCGTTGTTTTATATATAAATATCGTTTTATATAAATCTCATT